GAAGAAGGAAAATGTGGTCCACGCTAGGTTGTGCTTTGGGAGATTTTGAAGCTTTTTGAAGGGGATTGAAGTGGGAATCAAGGGGTAAGACTTGAAGGTAAGATTTATGGACTTAATACTCAATCCTAATGTGATTTCTACCTAATTAATCATGGAAATTGTTGAATTTAAGCCTAAATATTGAAGAACTAGGGCTTGTAATTGGAGACCTAAAATTAGGGATTTGAGGGATCATTTGTGGTTGGATTTTGGTGACTTTGATATGAATGAACTCGAGGAGTGATAAAGATTCTATTGATGTAATTTTTATCGGAATCCGAGACGTGAGCCCGGTGGTTGGATTTGGCCAATTTCGGGATTTGTGTTGTAATTTGATTTCTTTGAGTGGGCTTTATTCCCTTAGCATATTTTGATGGTTGTGCACTGATTTTGGTTAGATTTGGAGCATTCAGAGGCCGATTCGAGAGGCAAAGGCATCGCGGGCTAGAGTTTGGACCGGATAAAGGTGAGTAATGATTGTAAATATTGTCCTGAGGGTATGAAACCCCGGATTTCACATCGTTGTGCTATATTTAGGTGACACGCATCCTAGATGACGAGCGTAGAGTCGTGCACCGTTGGGGATTGTGACTTAGTCCATCCCGAAAGACTGTTTTGCCGCGTATTTGATTGAAAACGGTTTGCTATCATCATATTTTGGGCTGAATGCCATATTTGGGCCTCGTGCCAAATGTTTTGGACCCTTAGGGGATTTTTACTACTATTTCTCACTCTTTTGACTTTATACTTGTACTCAGTCATGCAATATTCTACTGATTTCACAACTTAGCCATGTTTATACTGTTTTGACATCTTAAATGATATTTTGAGCCGAGTGCCTGTGTTGTGAGGTTANTTTTAAATGATATTTTGGGCTGAGCATTATGTTTTACTGTGCCCGAGTGGCTTTTAGAGATTTCTGACTGAGTAGGGCCGAGTGTCTGTGTTGTGAGGATTATTATGGATCGGGCTGCATGCCGCAGCAGTGTTGTACTGATTATGATTATGAGGCCGAGGGCCTGAGTTGTATGCCACAAGGTGGCTTGATATGAGACCGAGAGCCTATTGATTATGTCACGAGATGGTTTGATATTATGCTTGGGCTGTAAGGGGCCCCTACCGGAGTCTGTACACCCCAGTGAGCGCGAGTATCTAGTGTGATATGTGATTTAGCCCGAGGGGCTGGTGTTGTTCCGTGTTATTGCCCGAGGGGCTGATTCTTTTGACTTTGTGCCCGAGGGGCGGATTTTATGTGTTTATCTTTTCTAGTTGCCTTTCATTTACTTGTTTAACTGTTAAAAAGGTGTTTTAAAGAAGCTTATACTGAACTGAGGTGTTTTTATTAGATTTCACTGTTTTATTGCATTTTTATTGGTTTTACGCTGCCTTTTATTAGCATGTTGTTGTATTTTACGTGATTTCTTATCGCTCAGCCTTCATTTATTGTTATTACTCGCTGAGTTGGAGTACTCACTTTACTCTCTGCACCCTGTGTGCAGATTTAGGAGCTTCAGGTCCCGCCACTGAGGGTTGAATGCTCCCAGCAGTTCATTCGGAGTCCACTAGGTAGCTGCTCGGCGTTCACAGCCCAGTGTTTCTCCCTCCTATCTTACTTTCTGTTTCTAGTTCTGTAATAGACTGTATAAACTCTTTCAGACTTGTAGACTTATGTTAGATGCTTATGACTGGTGACACCCCGATGTCGGGCTATGTTTATTCCGCAAATTGTACTGTTTCACTATTTCTTTTAGGATTTAATCATGTTAATGACCTAAATTGTGCTATTTTAATTATTTAAAATGAATTGGGTGTTGTGTCGACTGGCCTTGTCTTCACGAGAGGCGCCATCACGATCGGGTCCGGGTTTAGGGTCGTGACAAAAGTACCTTTAATGAAGAAAATCCAAGATATAGTAAACGTCAAAGGACAACTACTTATTTTGGAATGGATTTTCTAACATTCTTGTTGGAAAATGAGCCTCAAATGTTCAAAGAAGCAATGTCTTTCTCGGAAGTACAATATTGGAAAGAGGCAGTCAATAATGAGATTGAATCCATATTAAGTAATACTTGGGAATTGGTTGATCTTCCTCCAGGAAATAAACATTTGGGTTCTAAGTGGATTTTCAAAAGGAAAATGAAAGTTGATGGTACTATTGACAAATATAAGGCAAGATTAGTTGTTAAAGGATTTAGACAACGAGAAGGTCTTGATTACTTTGACACATACTCGTCGGTAGCGATGACTACATATATCGAGTGTTAATAGCCTTAGTCCCCGTGTATGACCTTCAAATCCATCAGATGGATGTGAATACAACCTTCTTAAATGAAAATTTAGAGAAAGCAATTTATATGGAACAACCTGAAGGGTTCGTAGTTCTCGAAAAGAAAAAGTGTGTTGACATTTTAAGTCACTTTACGGACTAAACCAAGCACCAAAACAATGACATGCGAAATTTGACCAAACAATATTGTCAAATGGTTTCAAGATCAATGAGTGTGACAAATATGTTTACATGAAGAATACTCCAAATCAAATAGTCATTGTTTATTTATATGTGGATGATATGTTGATAATGAGTAACGACACTGCTAACATAAATGCTATTAAGTGCATGCTTACTAGTAAGTTTGATATGAAAGACTTTGGAGTTGCCGATTTAGTTTTGGGAATTAAGATCCTGAAGACTCCTCAAGGTCTAGCCTTATCTCACTATCATTATATTAAAATGGTACTTGAAAAGTTCAAATATTTGGACTTTAAAGTTGTAAGAACACCAATTGATTTAAAACATACTCTTGTAAAGAATAAAGGTCAAAGAAAGTCTCAATTTGAATATGCTCAAGCGTTTGGAAGTTTGATGTACATTATGAATTGTACACGACCTGATATAGCTTATGCGATAAGTAAGCTTAGTCGATATACAAGTAATCCCGACAAAGCTCATTGCATAGCAATGAAACGAGTTTTAGGGTATTAGAAATATACCAAAGATTATGTAATGCATTACAATAATTATCTCACGGTTATTGCGGGATATAGTGATGGAAATTGGATCACCGGATCAACAAAAACAAAATCCGCAAGTGGATATATTTTTACCATTGGTGGAGGAGCTGTGTCTTCAAAGTCTTCCAAATAGACATGTATCACCCGCTCTATGATGAAGTTTGAGTTTATAACTTTAAACATGGCCGGTGAAGAAGCCGAATGACTCTGAAATTTCTTGAAGATATTCCATTTTTATAGGCGTATCCAAGATTTTAATAACATGGGTGCACCATTATCTTTAAGACAAATATTTGGTTCGATTATATAAAATTTGTGGTGATAACAAGTTAACGAGAAAACTATATTAATATAAATTTTTTAATCCAATAAAGATTCAAGGTTGAGCTATTGGAAATTACAAGCAGTGACATAAATATTTCAGATAAGCAGAAAAACAAACAAACTCCAAATAAGCTTGCCTGGAAACTATGCAATGAAATGTTCTTGATACCCAATACAGGAAAAGAAAAGCAACATACCCATTAATTAAGAGTGGGAAAAAATGAAAAGCAAAAGCTATTGAGATTTGATAATTTCACTACAATAAGCAAAATAAAATATTAAAGATTAACCTGGCTAGGGCACTGAAGGAACCTGGCTAAGGCACTAAAGCAAAATGAAATGTTAGAGTCCAAAATGGAATGGGGGAATCGAAAATTTACTTCAATTATATTAATATTATATTCACAAAAAATATCATTCACTTTACAATTGTCCTCGACGAGCTTTCATACTTTGAAAACGGTCTAGAATAGCATCATTACTTATAGTTTTAAATATCTTACATTCTGTATAGCAAACTAAACGATCATTTAGAAAATCATCATACATCCTATTTCGTAGATCATTTTTATGTACTTCATTGATGAGAATGCTCTTTCTACGTGTGCGGTAGCAACAAGTATAAGAAAAGTCAACTTCACAAGCAAATAAATAAGTGACCAAGTAAGATCCAATTTTTTTCTATCATCACTCTAGCAAAATCCTTAATCCCCTTCAGGTTAAGAAATCTACTATCACACTTTTGAGCATAGACAATGAAACTATCAAGTTGGAAATCAAGTTTTCGAAGCTTGTTATCACCAAATATACTTGGATAATACCCTGCTAACTTCATTATCCTGTCCTTATCAAAATTAACAAATGAATCAACCGGACTCAAACTGGCCATACCAAGTAGTAAGTCAATATTCACAACATCAAAACGATCATTAAGCTCTTGAAATTCCAAATCAATAATCGTATAAAACACTTCCACATGAAAGTGATGTAAATATAAAACTTCGGACCTCTTATGCTTCGACTTTCCTAGAGTATAGTCTTCATCCATTTTGGGAACTAGACTATCATGTTTACTACAAAATGAGCACACCTCATCCAACAAAGAGTTCCATTCAGTTTCTCTCACTATTTGCAATCTTTTCTTTGCAAGGTCAAGCATTCCCATAGCATTAACAATATCTTGATCTTTCTTTTGTAAGGCTTTGTTCAATTCATTTGTAAATAACAACACCTTAAACATCAAGTGCAACATAAAAATAAATTCAAATTCTTGAATCTGGTTCAAAAGATTTCCCGCTGCAAATCTATCAAGATGATATGGTCAGTCATGGTTCATATCTTTAAGCACATTAACAATTGAAGGAAATTAAAAAATCAAATTGTCTAGAGTTTTAAAATGAGATCCCAACGAGTATCACCCGGTCGTTGGAGGCCACGTTCTTGATTCAAACCTTGCCTCGTATAGGCTTCTCCAAATTTAAGCAACTATTCCAACTTATCTGCTTGATGTTGTCGAAGTGAATCCATGCGCTTAAATGAAGATCCAATAGTATTCAAACATTAGTAACAACATAAAAGAAATTATCCACATCCGAATGCTTTTTAGAAAGAGCTACAAGTGCTAGTTATAATTGAAGAGCAAAATAGTGAATACAATATGCAGAGGGAGTATCTTGCAAAATTAAAAACTTGAGACCACTTATTTTTCCTTGCATATTACTAGCTCCATCATAGCCCTGTCCACGTATCTTGGATCTACTTAATGAATGATCCAAAAGCAAAAAATAAATTGCTTTTTGTAATGATGAGGAAGAAGTGTCACCCACGTGGACAATACCCAAGAATCTCTCTATCGCCATTCCACTTTTGTTGACATATCGCAAAATTAAGACCATTTGCTCCTTATGCGAGTCGTCCTTTGATTCATCAACCAATATTGCAAAATAATAATCATCCAAATCTTCAATGATAGCTTTAGTTGTTTCTTTCGCACATGCCTCCACAATCTCCTTTTGAATACAAATCATCATATCATTTTGTAGAGCATGACGTAATATTACTCTTCCTACATCTGGACGTCGATCTCCGTGCCATTCTAAAAGTTTAGGAAAGCCACCTTTATATTCAGATTCTTCACTTTCATCATGTCCACGAAATGGAAATCCTGAAATTAAAAGAAACCTTGCCACATCAATTGAGGCATTTAAGCGCATCCGGTAATCACTTTTTACTTTTTCACTTTGCTTATCAAATGAAGATTGAATCGATTGACGTTGACTTTTCAAATCTAACATCCTATTGAAGCATTTGTGATGGATATTATTTACTTCACCAACATGTGCTTTGAATCTTTCCACACCCTTGTTCCAACCCCTAAAACCATCTTTTGTAAATGCACCCCCTACATTTTCATGGCTTTCAAGTTCATTCTTGAATAAATAACAACACAAACAAAATGTCGTATCTCCTTTTATGCTATACTCCAACCATTGAGAATATGGTCCCCTAAACCAAGTGGGACTAAGTTGACGCATTTTACTCCCAATCTTAGTTTTAGGAAAGGCATGACCAATCGGTTGACAAGGCCCTTTGTTTATATAATATCTCCTCACTTCATCTCGAATATTAGGACCATAATCCAAAATTGGCATTCTTTCTTTGGGATCCAGTTCAAAAGATTTCAAATCAAGCACTTTATCCACATTTGAAAGCAGAGAAGGATTTGTATCCCTTTGAACTTCTGGAGCGATTTATGAACTCTTGGATGACCAACTAGCACTAGAACTCGATTCATCATTTTTCGGCTTGGTGAGAAATTTATCCATTTTAATCTTATGGATCATTCCTACAAAATTAAACAAAGAACTGTTATCATAGATATACAAAATAGTATATGCAGTTCCTCGTTAAAATAGTATATACAGTTCCTTGATGTTGAGATTAATATCAATAATTGTACTTTATCTTAAAAGAGGTTCACTGGCGTGAATTCTTTCCCCACCTAAAGGAAAGGAACTTTAATTTTTCTTTTTAGATGATATATTCTGGGGGTAGATGGTCACTTGTTCATTTAATAGGCTATTAAAATTTTATTTTCTCCTTTGTCAAATTACATAATGCATATGGAATATGACATTAGCTTCTCACTTCTCAGAGGAAGTATCACAATATAGTTTTTTCCTATGGATTTCAATCTTTGACTCAGCCAAACATTTTCCCAAACACAATATGTGCACAAATTCTATAAACTATCAAAATTCAAGGCCTTAAAGCCCTAGCTCTCCCAAATTCGCACTAAAAATAACAACAACTTATCATTTCAGAAATAAACAATCAGAATCACCATCAAGGCATTAACAAGAAAAAAATCTTGGCAAGAGATTCAAACATTGAGCACTAAGTGTCTGAGCAGAACGGGAAAAGAGAGAACAGGGAATAGCAAGAGGAGAAGAAAGTTGTCACGACCCTAAAATCGACCCGATCGTGATGGCACCTATCGTGAAACGAGTTTTGTGGTATTTGTAATATACCCAAGACTATGTATTGCATTACAATAATTATTCTACAGTTATTGCGGGATATAATAATGCAAATTGGATCACCGGATCAACAGAAACAAAAATCTACAAGTAGATACATTATTACCATTGGTGGAGAAGCTGTGTCGTGGAAGTCTTCTAAACAGACATGTATCACCCGCTCTATAATGGAGTCTGAGTTTATAGCTTTAAACAAGACCAATGAAGAAGCTGAATGGCTCGGAAATTTATTGAAAGATATTCCATTTTGGCCCAAATCTGTGGCGCATATATTCAGACATACGACAATTAAAAAACAATAGGAAGGGCTGGGAGCATTATGTATAACAGAAAATCACGTCACATACGACAAAGACTTAATACTATTCTCTAGTAAAATTATCAAAATTGACTATGTAAAGTCAAAGGATAGCGTGTCAGATCCGTTAATAAAAGGCCTAACTAGAGAGGTAGTTGAGAGATCATCGAAGGGAATGTGACTATGACCGAGGACAAGTTACTGTGGAAATAACTCTACCTAGAAGACTGAAGATCCCAGACCTAGGTTCAAGGAGATCAAACAAAGTCATTTATAACAGTTCAATATTGTGAAATAAAATTTTGGTCCATTCTCGTGATGAGACAATATTCAGTACCAAGGATAAAGCATGAAGGATTTTTAATGGTTTCTAAGTTTGATACATGGTATATCAAATAGTCTATTTACGGGATTACACGTTTAGGAATCACCTATGTAAATGTAAAGTGTAAGCCGCTTCAAGGAGAATTCAGTAAGGCCAGTTTTCTATACACTTATGAACCAGGCAGTGTTCATGGCTGAAACAAACACAATAATGAGAACCAAAGATGGTTAAGGATTGGTCATGTGACTTACGGTTGTCTAGGTATACACCAAAACTCGACGGTTCAGAGATATCAAATCTACCGACTGACTGAGTATATCCGATATAATTTCACTACGCAAAGTTCAAAGGGAAACCTACTTATCCCTACGTGGATAATCCTTACTTGCGAATCACACAATATTTTATGCATGTTTTCATCATATAGCCAATCCCCATTCATGTGGAGGATTATTGGATTTTTCTTAAAGGGCGTGAATGGGAAATGGAAGAGGCACCTCTTGGATTGCACCTCTTCATCTCATCCTTTCATTGTCTATAAATTTAGAGGCTTTGCCTCATTTTCTGACATGGAAAATCTAAAAACTTCTCCCCTCTTTTCTACATTGTTGCATTATTTTTTAAATAAATAGAAGTGTCAAGTGTGATTTGCTCCGTTTGTTGAGTTCGCTAAAGTTCTGTGATTTGTAGTGCCGCTGTCACAGAATAGTTATTCCGTTCTATTCTGGGAGTAATTAATCCATAACATTACCCAATAATGAGGAGATTAAATTCCTTAAGAATAGATAAACCACTTGTAGGCTCAGAATTATTTTATGCTTTGTTTATTAAACTAACGTTTTCTTTGTATAATTTTCTGATTTTGAACAGAGATTACTAACATATTTTTTAGGCCAATCAGGACTAGGTATCGAGACTATTAAATTATTAAGTTCAAACATCAAAGTGATAATTTGGCCAACATAATGTTAAGGTATGAACTAAATTAAAATCGTCACCATCTATTTTGCCATAATATTATTTTTACTACCAAATTGGAGAAAAAGACATAAGATGAAAGAAACAAAAGGAAACCACCTATTTTCATCATTCCTGAAAAGTTAACTAAGAAGTTATTGGAATCATCTATATTTTTCGTTTGTTGGAAACATTTATACCTTCTACTTCAATTAATGTAAGCTCCTTTTAATTTGTTCTAAAAAATAATTATTTGTTAAATTTAAAAATAGTTTAATTTAAAATTTTAATTATATTCTTAATGAGAAGATTTTACAGTTACATAAATATTTAGTTATTACTTAGAAGGTCAGTACTCGACTAAGGTAATTATTTAGGAAGGACACTTTTTTTTTGACTCGCTCCGAGCTAGACCCGACCCGCTATTGTTTATATTCATTTTTTTAAGTCTCATTAAAACTTGTGATCATGTTGTTTAACCAAAAATCTGAGTCCTTGGTCAAAGCTAAAAAAGAAATTCGGGTTACTGATAATCAGGAGACAAAAATAAAATACTTTTGAGAACAATGGTAAAAAGTAAATAGATAAGTATTTCAATGAATTCTCAATAGTATTCCGTGTCCTTACAAATGATGATACTTCTTCCTTTTATAGATCATTCTAGGTAAAGGAATAAAGCC